TAATCGTGCAAAATAATAACAAAATATAATCAACCTAATAAGCAAAATCCTAAAATTAAAATCATAACAAATAAAATCAAATTACCTTCTCCGATCCATCGATTACAATGTTATCATAATTGGCTCTGTATTTTTCTCTCTACAAAATTCTTTATAAATTTTATTCTCTCTTAATTCGATATTGAAATATGGTGAAATTTAATTCTGAAAGTTATGTAAAAATGAAGAATATCACGTTGAATCCCATGAATTGTGGAAGAGGTTGATTTTTTTTTAAAAAAAATAACAAACTGACAGCTTGCAAATAAAATGTTAAAAATGCATCATTTAATACTAGGTGTACCATGAGCATGATACACCCTGGTGTACTATACAATTTTCACACCCCGTAACCTGATATTCAAATTTAATTGATTAAAAATAGTATTACCTCCGTTTCATATTATTTATAATGATTAGACAATTTCTCCTCGATATTATATTAAATAGTTACAAATAATATGAAATGGAAATAGTATCTACTAAGTAGTATTACTTTCTAAAAAATACTTAGAATTGGTTCATTATAATATTACTATTATACACCTAAGGTCCAAAAAATACTTTGAATTGGTTCATTATAATATTACTACTTCGTATTATACACCTAAGGTCCATCCATAGACAGTGTATATATGTTGAGTATAATAATTCTAATTTCAATATAATGGATCTTTATTAAAACTTAATTGTGTATATTGGTTCACAATAGTGAATCTTTATTACGAAGTATAACTTAAATATAGGACCCTAAATATAAGTGGTCGATAATAAATTAATATATGTAAACCAGATCTATTCAAGACTTTTATTCCACTTTTCAGTCCTCCACCAATATAAAAAAATCTACCTCTTTGTATGTAAAATTTTAATTCTCATTAAATTATAGTTATAAATTGAATAGACTAATTTGTAGGAAGAAAATTAATTAAGGGGACAATTTATATACGGGTATGTTCTACACTTCTACTCACTTCAATTTAACTTATTCAGATTTAAGAAATTCAAATCAAATAAAATAAGGGATAAAAAGTTTAGATAATATAAAATAATTAGTGTTGAATACTTGAAAAGTTCATTAATAAGGTCTAATAACACCATATAAAACATAATTAAGGTTAGCAAAACAGACCCTTATATTGTGTTTATAATGGTTTATTTAACAAACCTTTAACCATGTATATATAAAAATTATATAATATTTTAAAATTTACATTAGATAAATCTAACAAAATCCTATTTACTACTTACCTCCTTTTTTTTAGTTGACACATATTTCTTTTTAGGAATTTATTTAGTTGACACGTTTCTTTTTAGGTAATTTTTATACCTTTTTTTTTAGTGTACCCCAAATTTTTTTATTTTTTTTAGAGAGCCACGAGGACGGGTGATGAGAATCAATGCTAGGATCACTTGAAACCGGGAGGGAAGCTATGAGCTATCCCTCACTCTCTACCCCACTTGCTTTATCATCCTCTCTTCTCTCCTTAATATGTGTGTCTAAATTAAATATGTCAACTTCAGCTTAATTTCAGTTCAGTTCAGCTTCAATCAATTCAGTTCAATCCAACTCTAATTAGTTCAGTTCAGTTCAACTCCTAATTTCCCTTTCTCATAAAATATTCAGTTCAGTTCAGTTTAATCAGTTTAGTTTAGTGCAATTCAGCTCCAATCAATTCAGTTCAGTTCAACTCAGTTCTGTAAATGTGAATAGACCCTAAATAAAAACGGATGAAGTATTTTTAATTTCTTATAAATAGTAAAATGAATAAAACCTTTTGAAATGATGGAAACTATGGAAGTATATAAAATCAATTAACATTAAAATATCAAAGTAAATTATGTAAGGCCGGCCACAATCGAGATTATTCTTCTACCAATATCTGTTAATCGATATATGCCGTACAATAGTAGTCAAATTAAAATGAATAGGAATAGTATCATCACTCATGTAGTCATGTTAATTAAGGAATAAAATATATTTGATGTTCTTATCAAATAGTTGAAATTATGCCCAATAAAAAAGAATATTATGGGGGGTGGGGTTGATAATTATTCTTTCAATTCTCTCAAAACTCAAAAGATAGTGCCGTACTTATAAACGACCCTTCTTAGGTACATACAAACCTCACTCAAATAGAAATTTATAATTCTATTTTCAGTTGTTATTGAGGGGAGGTTGGTCGTAAATTTAGTGATCTGAGAAAATGACAATTAAAAGAGAATCAAACTACTCATACTAGAAAACTTTATTACTAAATTTTTATTAAAATAAAGAAGGTGAAAATATATGGGCTAATAAAGTAGTGGGTGGTGTGGTGGAAGATAGTCAAAATTTGGTGGTACATCAAAGAGTACAATGTCTTTTGGTGGGGAAGGTTGTAACTAGTCCATATTCTAATCACTACTAACAATACCTTGTGGATAAAGTACTAATGATGATACTCGTCATAATTCTTTGAATTTTATACAACTTTTCAAGATTTACTAAATCATCATCACTGTTGTTGATTATTTTGTTGGATGGTTGAAGACTCACGAGTACTGACTACAGAGTATTACTTTTTTTTAGTATTACTCCGTGTAAATACTCAATAAAAGTTATAATTAGAGAGAGAGGAATAATTCAAGTGGTTAAGGTGATATTTAGATTGATTGATTCTCATCACTCGCTCTTGTGGTTCTCTAAACAAAAAAAAAAAACAAGTTATAGTTAGAGATTTTTATTTATTTTATTTATTATTTTTTATTTTTTTGATATAGATAAGATTCGATCTTGATTTGGGTATGTCTTCCAAACTGGTCAAGGTCAATATGATTAGAAAAAAATTAAGGAAATTAGTTGAGCAATTAAGGGAGAGCAAATAATAATTATTTGGTGAAGTAGGGAGCGGAAATCATGAATCAACGGTGCACCAACTAATATAATCCCCATAACATGTGATCATATATAGGAAGGAGAAGATTAAGGAATATGGAGATCTATCGTTATGTCATTTCTCCCAAAATATAGTGCCCCCAGTCCCCCATTCCTACACTTTTTATACTCTATTTAATCACCCAATTAATTACCATATCGCTTAAGCCCCGTTCATTTTTATCTTTATTTTGCCCAACTGTAATTATTTTTAATGAATTGAAATTATTTTTTGCGGAACTAAAATTGTTTTTCCTGATTTTCTATGATATTTCCTCTTTAAGTTTACTGATTTTTACTGAACTGAAATAATATTTAATGAACTGAAATTATTTTTGCTGAATTGAACTTATTTTTACTGAAATGAAACTATTTTTTACTTAATATTATATTTTTTAAAGTGAAATGAACAGGGCCTTAGGAGTACGTATTACATGCTAAGAAAAAAAATTTAACTATTTGATCAATACTATTTGTGAAAAGATCGTGAAGCAATCCTTAATAGACAGAGTGAGTAAGGCTCTGTTCACTTCACCTTATTTTTGCTGAACTTAAATTTTTTTACGGAAACAAAATTATATTTACTGAACTTAAAGTATTTTTTACTGAAGTTAAATTAATTTTACTTAACTGAAATTATATTTGCTGAACTGAAATTATTTTTGCTGAATTGAAATTATTTTTACTGATTTTCTATTATAATTCTTCTTTAAGAAAACTGAATTTTACTGAAATGAACTTTATTTTTTCAGAACTGAAATTAATTTTACTGAATTGAACTTATTTTAACTGAACTGAAATTGTTTTTACATAGGGTCTGTTCACATTTACTTAATTTCAGTTCAGTTCAGTTCAGCTCAGCTCCAATCAGTTTAGTTCAGTTCAGCTCCAATTAATTCAGTTCAGTTCAGTTCAGCTCTTAATTTCCCTCTCTCATAAAATCTTCATTTCAACTCAGTTTAGTTCAGCTCCAATCAGTTCAGTTCAGTTCAGTTCAGTTCAGTTCATTTCAATTCAGTTTTAATCATTTCAATTCAGTTCATTAAATGTGAATAGACCCTTAATATTATATTTTTAAGGTGAAGTGAACAGGGACTAAAGCACTGTTCACTTCACCTTATTTTTGCTGAATTGAAATTATTTTTGCTAAACTGAATTTTTTTTACTGAACTGAAATTATTTATTTACTGAACTGAATTTTTTTTTTTACTGAACTGAAATTATTTTTGCTTAACTGAAATTATTTTTACTAAATTTCTATTATATTTTTTCTTTAAAGTAAATTTTTAATGAAGTAAATTGCTAAACTGAAATTATTTTTACTAAATTTCTATTATAGTTTTTGTTTAAAGTTACTGATTTTTAATAAAGTGAAATGATTTTTACTAAACTGAACTTATTTTTATCGAATATTTTTTTAAGATGAAGTGAGTAGAGCTATACTATAAACAAGGGGTTGAAAAACCAACTTGCAACATAAAAGTGTACAAAATCAAATTAAAAGCAAATTTGTGTGGTCTCCGACAAATCCTCTATGTGCACACAATATGACACAATATATACATGCGTTAATTGGTTAAAATGTGTTATTATTATATTTACTTGATATTTACTTATCAAATCTAAAATTACAGGAGTAGAATTTTTTTTAGTTGTAAATAGAATTTTTTTAAAAAATGATTTATTAAACTATCTATTACGAATTTATGATCTAATTCTAGGATAATCACAATTTATAGGTTTTAGCGGGTATAAGAACCCTAATGATAAAAAGGGGGAGAGAAAGAAGAAGAGACGGCTAGGGTTTTTATTGCTAGTAGTAACTTATTTGTAATTTACAAAAAAAGTCTTCTACTACCCCCCACCCCCTCCCCCCCCCCCCAAAAAAAAAAAAGAAAAAAAAAAAAACTTATTTCCAATCTCAAATTAAAAACCATTCCCCAAAATCTTCATAACCCTATTTCCCAAAAAAAAAAAACGATCCCCCAAAATCTTTAAAACCCTAACCTTCAATTTTATCTCCTACCTTCAATAATACTCAGAGATGGCGCATCATCATAGCAGTACAAGAAATAATATCAAAGAAGAACATGACGAAGATGATGATTGTATTTTTGTTAAGGAGGTGACAAATTCTATGTCCAAGTCCAAGGGAAAGCAGAAGATAATAGAACCTAAACAAGAGAGCAAGTATTTTGAATCCACAAATTTCCGCAAAAACATTTCAACTGTGAATGTTGATGGCGACGAATACGACGATGACGTTACCATCATTAACGTTACACCTAGACCTTCCTCTAGGCCATTGTCGTCGTCGTTGTCGCCGTGTTCGTCTTCAAAGAAAAGGAAATTGCATTTTAGCTGCCCTACGATTGTTGAAGTTGGCGAATCATCAAAGTCTAAGGAAAAGAATGATGAAATTTGCGCTAATAATTATGAGACAAAGGAAGTAACGTTTGTTTGTGACATATGTACGGACTCAAAACCTCAACAAGAGTCGTTTTTGATTAAGGGATGTTCTCATTACTATTGTGTTGATTGTGTGAGAAATTATGTTGATTCCAAGCTTGAAGGTGGTGTTTCTCAAATCGATTGTCCGGTCCCTAAATGCTCCGGAACATTAGATCCGGAGCATTGTAGGGAGATTTTAATAGGTGGGACTTTTTTTAAGTGGGGTATACTTTTGTGCGAGTCAACCATAGTTGCCTCGCAAAAGTTTTATTGCCCATTTAAGGATTGTTCGGCATTGTTAATTGATGATGGGAGTAAGAAGGTGACTAGATCGGAATGCCCTAGTTGCTATCGATTGTTTTGTGCTCAATGTAGGGTTGGATGGCATGAAGGGCTCGAGTGTGCTAAGTTTCAAACTTTGAATAAGGATGAACGAGAGGCGGAGGGTAGGATGTTGATGAATCTAGCTGAGGATAATAATTGGAAAAGGTGTCCCGCCTGTAAAATATATGTGGAGAAGACAATGGGTTGCAATATTATGCGTTGCAGGTAATTGATTCGCACCTTAATGAGTTTATTGAGAATACTAATATTTTAGGGTTATTGATTCGCACCTTAATGAGTTTATTGAGAATGCTAATATTCATAAATAAACCATTAATTTTATTTAACTTTATTGGAATTTTCTTTTTATAAATTGTGATAGAATGCATTGAATGTGCTTTATAATACTTCATAGAGCTCAATCATGTTCCAAATTTAGGTCATCTCCAATCGCATATAGTGATCGTTCTTTACAAGTGTGCAATACATTGATTTTACTATTTGTTGTGGAACTGTTTCATTAACAAGCAGATTCTTTCTTAACAAATGATCCAATAGCAACGAATTTTTTTATATCCTCAAATGCATAAGAATAACTTTTGTATGTATCCGGTGTACAATAATTTACTGTACATTGAGTGTCACTTTTACAATTTTTTTGGATAACTTTTATCAATAAAACATAAATATTTCGTAACTTTTATTCATATTTATAACGATGTACATCCGATTTATTAAAAGTTTGTAGTTTTGTTTATGATTTTGTTGACAATTGATTTCTTAACGTATTCTTTGTTGATTATTTGTGAATTTTGATTATAGGTGTGGAACTTCTTTTCGTTTCTGTAGTTGTGGACAAGTGTGGTGTATTTGCCGTAACAAACCTGCGGCCGGCCTCGGTAGACAACTACCAAATGCTACACTACATCGTAGAGTCTTTGGACAGCAACTAAATAATGCACCACATCCCTCGGCCAGGCTCCGTAGACTACTACCAAATGCTACACTATATCGTAGTGTCTTTGGCCAGCAACTATATAATGCACCACGTCCCTCGGCCGGGCTCGGTAGACTACTACCAAATGCACCACTACATGTCTTTAGACAGCAACTAAGTAGTGCACCACGTCGTCGCTGGTCTCTATCCTCGGCTCCGTCGAGTATTATTGAGAAGAATAAGGCTCATCAAAGGATGTTATAGTAGGAAGGGATGGAAGAAAATTGACTCTTTAATACTTAATTACGGTATTTATTTTATTTCATTTTTGGTATCATTTCATATATTGGCAACCAATGTGTTCTAAACGAAAGGATAATTTGTTGAGTATTCTTATGAGTTAGTACTCGAAACAAAACTTATCCTTGGATTTTATTTTGAGAAAAATTGTCTCTATTTTTAGTATGAATAAGTTTTGGTCATGTATCATTTCTCTTTCAATTTAAAAGTTATCACACTTTCACTAATAAGTACTTCATGCATCTGTCTCTTTTTCTTTTTTTAATCATACAATTTATATATCACCTAAAATTAGGCACCATGAATCAAAAGATTAGCATGAATCGAATTGTCATTATATTGTACGTAGTATATCAGTAAAACCTAGACGTGTACAAATAGATATACAAGTATATAATTATTCTTTTGGTGTAAACTTTTGCTATGATGAACTCCTATTACGGAGTAGTAAATAATTGTGAATTTGTGTTCCACAAAAAATGTTGTAAAATCGGGAAAAGTTTTCTATTATTGACATACTTTGTATTACATAAAATACGCGATACTTGATAATTGCCATCATAATGAATTTATATACTGGGTCCTAAGATATTGAAATGAGAAGGTCATCAAGTCTTTGTTCATAGAAATTTATGTTGAAAATATTACTATGAATATTAACACAAGCTACTTATAAAAGTATAATGTAAAATTGTAAATCAATCCCCATTACTAACAATAAGAACAACTTAACACTCGTTTATATCTTATCGTAAGTTGTTATTGTAATTTTACCTCAATTAGGACTTTAATTTATTTTATATCAGAGATAATGTATATGACCTAAATTCTCCATTGATGTATGATTTAGGTAGGATACTTGACCTATAATTCAATCTCTATTATTTTCATTTGAGATAAGATCGAATTGGAGATGTACGTGCATTATTAGTCCAGCACACTATGACATCAGCGTATCTAGGAGAGAGAAGAAACACTATTAATTTATTAAGTCCTCAGTTGTTACTTGTCTGGGTAATCATATTAATAAAGTATTAAAATTATTAATAAGTAATTAAAGTATACTTTGAATAGAACCTATTATCTAATTATTGATTGGATTTATAGCTTCAAAAGTACTTTCATATAGTATAATATAGTGCATATGTACAAGGAATAATCTCATCATATATTACATCAGTTCCTTTTTGTTGAGTTCACTTTCTACCATTTATTTGTGCTATAACATATGTGACTACACGAGGTTTATGTAAATTTAAAAAAGTAAAAAATCAATCATATAGAAGCACTAATGGTATCCCTTAAGTTTAGGACACATAAAATGTACACTTAAATCGGTAGACCTACACACATACTAATATACGAAGTATTTATTTATACAATAGCTACTGTTTATATATAAAAATTTCTCCGTATTGTATTGTCATCGATATCCTCCCATAATCCCACCTCTCTTTCCTAAGACACAAGAATGAATTTTCTTTTAAATAAGACCATTTATTAATTAATTGGAGGGATGATACATTCATACTCTTAATTACCATCTGTAGTTAATGGCTGCATACAAAACATTAAGTCGTTATAATGTTAACGTGCCTAAAGAAATATGTCGACTAACATGAAACAAAACTGAATTAGTAGTTGAAAGGCCGTTATAATGTTATATCCATACACTTGACAATATTACCGTCAACTATATGAAACACGTTAATTTTCCTTTTTCCATATACACTTGACAATATCACCACTCACTAACATTATTATGACCTTGAGGTTATGATTTTGTCGTTCCCTACGGTTTTTAGTGATAAACGACATTTGTAAAGGTTCCGATAGATTTAATAGGATGATTCTTCTTACCAAAATAAATTTAAATTCATAAATAGCTTTCAATGTAGTAGAATCATTCTTCTCACCATAATCAAATTAAATTTACAAATAGGTTTACCATTCTGTTTTAATATAGTGCATATGTACAAGGAATAAACAATATTAATTTCTATTTTTTTTTCCACAAGAGAGGAAATAAAAATTCAAAATTTTCTAATAGAAAATTCTGTACCAAAAGACAAGTAACCAAGTACAAACTTCATGTACGGATGCAACTACTCGAGTCATTCATCCAAGATAGTATTAGTTTAATCAGAATTCTATGTTCCAAATCATGCTTAAGTCTGAAATTTGAATTAGTCTTTAAAGAATTGCGCACTTGTTCATGCAATTAATCGAATAAATATTAGTTCATCATGAAGTTGAGCATGTTTATTAAACTAGTGCAAGTGGGATTCTCTACAAGATTTTTTCAATTCATCTATGAAATCATGAGAAACTATAGCCCGTTACCCGGTATGGACCCCCCCTGTCCAATACCTGAATAAAAAAATAATATTTATGAATTAAAAAAAGGCAAAATAAAATAGGGGGTAAAATAAAAACGAGGGGTGGGTAAAAAAGAAAAAGGAGGAGAGAGAAATTACTTTCCCCTCTTTGTTGTTGTTTCCTGTGAAAAAATGACCGGCGCCGGACCGGAGCAGCAAATTTTGTGGTTGATTAAAGGTAGTATAATTGGAGGGCGGAGAAGGATTTTCAAGCTCTTTAAACATCTTGTTTTGGTCACGAGAGACGATGAATTCACCACCAGTGTGCAAATTTACGACTTTCTCCATGAAAAACGGTGAGTTCTTTGTTTGGTGTTGTCGAAGTTCGAAACAATTTGGATGTGAAGGAGTTGAAGATGACGACATTAATTGTTTGTCGGTGCCCTGTTATCATTAACGTGTATACTGTTATTTTATTTTGTATACTATTAATTCTTATTTGTATACCGTTATTGTTGAATTGTTTTGTATACTTTTTGGGTATATGATTATTGTAGGTTTGACTATACTGTTGTTATTGATTTTTATACTACTATGGTTGATTTATATACGGAAAAATTGTCAAAAATAATACAACCTTTCAGCGGTCCGCCAAAAACAAGTCGACCTTTTGATTATTTCAGAATAATACAACATTTTATAGGTATCCGCTTAAAACGAGTTATGACCGGTTAGTGACCTAATTAACAAGTTAAATGAGACACATGTCATAATCTTATTGGTTTGACAATTTAAAATAAATTTTTAATTTAATTTATATTATATTATTATTATTATATTTATTTATGTATTATTATTTTAAAAAAAAACCACCCACCTCTACCTCCACCATCAGCCAACCCCCTTCCCCCTCCCACGACGATCGGCCTGACCTCCGACGCCGAACCCAGATCACCTCCCTCAGCGTCGATACCGTCCCCACCTCCCTCGGCTCCCCTTCTCTCTTCTCTCTTCCCCACAAAACCACCATCTCCGAAACCCACCTCCCACACAAAACCACCTAAAACCCATCTCTTCCCGTCAATAAACCTTAAACGAACCTCCCTAGGATTTCGCAGAGGGTTTTTCGAGGGTAAGGGATAGGTTTCAGGTGGTTTTATGGGGAAGATCTGGGCGCAAAGAAGAGAGAAGTGAGGGAGGGTTTCGGTGGTTTTATGGGGAAGAGAGAAGAGAGAAGGGGGACGTGCGGGATGAGGATCGACGCCGGCGCCAGGGGAGAGGAGATCCGGGCGCGGCTGGCGCCGGGGGCTGGGTTGGGATTCGTCGGGGAAGGGGAAGGTCGCTGGGGAAGGGGTGGCTGGTGGTGGAGGAGGTTTTTTTTTTAAAAAAAGGACTTTAATTGTTTTAATTATTAATTAATCATAATTAGTGTTTTAATAAAGAGTTAATTAGATTATTAAACGAATTTATTGAAAAAAAATTAAAAATTTAACTGGTTATTAAGGTTGCAGGTATCCTAACTCGTTTAAAGCGGATACCTATAAAAGGCTGTATTATTCTGAAATAATTGAAAGGTCGACTTGTTTTTGGCGGACCGCTGAAAGGTTGTATTATTTTTGACAATTTTTCCTTTATATACTGTTATCATATGATTTTATACTGTTATTGTAGCTCTGGATATTATTATTACATATTTGATAGCGGTGGTGGTGAGGACGATGTAGTAACCCACCGACATTGTTGTTGATGAAGACAAAGATGATGATGGTGATGGTGATTTCTCTCTCCTCTCACTTAAAGGTTTTCAAATTGATTTTCCAGTAAAAATTCTGGTCGAGATACAAACTAGCCTTGAGGTCTTCGAATTACAAAGGAAAAGAGGTGAGAATTTTTTTTTAAAAAAAAGGTTTCCGGTGGAGAAAGAGGAGAGAGAGGGGGAAAGAGGAGAGAGAAGGGAAAAGAGGAGAGAGAGTATTTTTTTTACAGCTGGTAACAAAATAATTACTGTCTAAATATTTACTTGAAAGTACATTTTTGCCCCTAGGTATGGACCAAAGGAGTCCATACCTGGTAGTGGTCCATCATGCCTCATGAAATCATATGCTAATACTTGAATTTAATTATGTGTAGCTTAGGATAGCAAATTTAAAATTTCATCTAAAGTCGCACTATTATATTGATTGAATGATGAAATATTACAAGTATAATAATCCCTGTTAAACTTCTTTTGTTTACTGTTCTAAGAGTTGACTTATATGACAGAGATATTGGTAGGTTAAACGAGATTTCAATTCCATTTTAATCCCTTCATTCCATTGCTTATTAACAAAAATACGTAAACGGATGTCATAAATGTAAACACTAGCTAGCTTAGTTTTAGTATTACTCTGAAGTTGTTAACTCCTATCTCCTTCATTCAATCTCATAACTTATTTGATTGACTATTTTTGTAAAATGTCATAACTCTGAAGTTGACTTAGCAGCATATGTCATTGTGCGCAAGCCAAGCATGAAGCGTTGATTCCTTCAAACCGAGTCATTATTTCCGCAAGTCAACTTTCCCCAATTGTACTTTTATAAGTACGGTTTTAAGTACGGCACACATATAGTAAGGCATTATTCATAGTTTCATACCTCATAATTGGAATAATAATGGCATAATAATAATAATATTGATATTATCGAATATTTGAAAAAAAATCTTCTATCACCTATGATAAAGAATTGAAGATTAGAGACATATGATTAAAATTGTAGATAAATACAGACTAAGGGTCTGTTCTCATAAACTGAACTGAACTGAACTGAGCTGAACTGAAATGAATATTTTATAATAGAAGGAAATTAGGAGCTGAACTGAACTGAACGAACTTAACTGAGATAAACTGAACTAAACTGAGTTGAACTTTAAATAAACGTATGAGAACAGACCCTAAGTACACATATTTTATCTTTAAAAACATCTACTTTGTCACTTTATATTGATCGTTGAGTAAAATTTTCAATTACAATTTTGTAACACTTTTACATAGTTGTACTGATACTTGATAGTATGAATATGAATTGAACCGATAATGTGACAATTAAATTCATCAACATAAAAAAAAGGAATAATTTAGGCTTAAACTAGAAGACTATTATGCTTAAATCAAGCTGGCCACTGGGGTCAAGAGGTGTATTGCACATTTGCACTTATTGTTTCTTTAGTATTGCTTAGTTGCAATGCTTATCACCTCAGAATATTCTTGCTATTATTCTCTTTTGTTTAAACAAACAAACCAAAAATTCAAATGCCACTTTTTTTTTTTTTAATAATATTTTGGTAAAATGAAAATGGTAGATACTGGCTCATTTGTGTGGCTAACCAAATACGGAGTATTACATAGATATGCTCTAAAGTTGTGTAATTTTAATTTAAATGCACTTGAGCATACTTATGTAGAATATTACAGAAATGGTATGAATGAGTAAATGAGTAAATGAGTGAATCACAATTAACCTTGGGTTATATATCGTCATACTGATACGAAAGATAAAAAATACAAATTGCCAAGTAAAATTTATGAATATAAATCATGTTAGATATTAGATGTAGCTGAAAGGGTACAATGTGTACAAGAAAGTCCTCAAAACACAAACAAGACATTTCAACCATTAAGTCAAGATTTAGATACAAATCCAGAATCAACATTAGTGGGCACATTAGATAAAGTATCAACAAATTAACTATAATTCTGTCGCAGCCATGAAAAACAATAGATGTTTACATGTACTTATCAATCAAGATTAACATTATACATCACCAATAGTAATAGCCGCGCCAATTGTACAAAAATCAATCAGTCAAAGGAGGCTCCAAGCTAAGCTTGGTAAAATCTGTCCCCTCTTTTTATGTTCTCCTTTACACGTACTACCCACCATATAAGACAGGATTACATTCTTCTGCAGCAGTGAGAATACTTGCAGTCCCGGAACATAGTATCACATGGCTCGACACATACAGGCATTGTGATCAACACAAATGTCGCCTTATATGTCGAAGCCATATAACACTACCTTCGAGCATTGCATGGTTTCACTTTGCATAAGATTGAAATCCTAAATAGTGGGGTGCCTATGACAAAAGAATTGGTAAATGCTGTGAAAAATAGACCCTAACATCTTTTTCAGGGCCTTCCTTGTATACATGAAAAAATAAAAACAAAATTATAGGTTGAAAGGTAAGGAAAAAAAAAATCAAAAGACCTCAATGGATTAAAGAAAAGTGAAAAAAATTGATTAGCTGTCTGTTAATATGGACTCCAACCACTCAGATGAATATTCATAGGCCACAAAAGTAACAGCACCAGCAGGTGCTGCTTTCACAATGGAGGGTACAATGCCTTTGTATAGACCACCCCAGCCTTCGGCTTGCAAGATTCGCATGAGGGCATCATACATGCTCTTGTAGGCACCTTGCTCAACTCTAGCTCCATATCGTACATCTCGTTGCAATCCTTCAACCTACACATTAACAGTTCACAAAACATCATAATCAAAGTAGTTTCATTATGTTGAAATATCTATAATATGACTATATGAGTATTATTTCCATCTGAATACTAGAAGATAAAAAGGGTGTGTGGCTGAATTTAGGGATGGGATGTGACCATCATGATGCAACCCAGTAATAACATTTGTGGAAGTCCCACTATTAGAGAAGCCGAGGTGCCTTTACTGCCACATTCAATCAAATTACTTAAACCAATCCCTAAACATTTATCAAGTATTTTAGGCATTGAAGAGCAATCACTTCAACAACAGCACAGTCAGAAGGCAGAGAAATTCAAAATTACAGGACAATGAAGAAAACAAAAAAGGCTTATTTTTTAACAGTACAGCAGCAGGCCCTATAATACGTAACCTGAGCTAATTCTAGTGAGCTATATATAAATGGGTGCCTTTAAGTTAAGGGCCTTATGGCCCATAATCCCCATAGTATTATTCCTGATGAAGAGGCAAATATAAAAGAAAAGAAAATATCTATTTAAAAAGATCACTCGACTGAGAAATGACTGACAGACTGAGTCATCTCAGTTCTCATGTTCTAAACAATGAGAACACTAACTTTGCAAAATAATAATGAAAACTCGACAGGTAGATATAGAATATAGATCTGTGAATTGGATATCAAGGTCAGCATCGAACTGCTCCCATACAAAAAGTCGCAGTTCAAAGAAAACAAAACGAGCTGAGTAGAAGTCATCTTTATTTACAGAAAACAAAAAAATGATCCCCATATAAGAAGTTGGAAGTGTAATAATTCTGCCCTTCACAAATTCATGTTACAACAAATTAATGTTATAAAGCCATATGTTTTTACCTGGAATCTCTTTTTGATGACATCCAATGGGTGGCAGACAGCCTTAGCACATGTACCAGCTGCTAATCCACAAAGGAAAAGCTGGAAGCTTGAAAGGGTATCGTCGCTGCTGGCGTGTCCTCCAGAATATCTTACTTGGTTCCAGGCCTACACGAGATTAGTCCATGAAACATAAAAATGAGAGATGATACTCTTGACAACAAAAATTATATCCATTCAAATAGCCATGGTAAGATTCTTTTCCTAGCTTGTATATAACTTTAACAAAAAATCATAGGTTGCACTCAAAATCTGAAGTCAAGCAATACCCTATTTTATGGGCAAAGGGGAGTAATATGATGTTTATAGAAAGACATTTTTGGCCTAACAGTTCTCCTGTAACTAATAGAGTAGACAGCAATACATCAAAATTTTAAGAAACTTACAAAAGAGACAACTTTTCTTCAAAGATCTTAGGAACCTATTTAGGCAATTCAGTTTCGCAAATCGGCATGGAACATACTTTTCAATGGGAAATTGGGAGCAAATAATTACTGATGAAGATGATGGTAAATCTCAACATTGGCTACAATAATTGAAAAATATTATATTCAAACTGGAATCACACAAGTGATAATCACATTAAGTGAAATCTAGAATTGACTCAGTATTTTAAACATATCTAAGCTCTGTAACAGTTAGAAATGATGACTACATTATCCAATAATACATCATACAGTTCATCCAAAGCATCAAGCAGTGACAATTTGAAGAGTTGAAAAAACAAGCAAATAGCAAAAAAACTCATACCGTAGTCCAACGCTTGAAAGTGTCATAAGTGCCAAACTGAAGGCCTGCATAAGGAACTATTTCAACTAGTGTAGGTGACAAACCAGCATACAGTCCTCGCAAGCCACGTCTGTTAAGAAGACCTACAAATGCAGCCCTCATGTTGGGGTATACCTACCAAATAAAGATCACTAATTTTTTAATGTATCAAAAGTGATCAACAAACTAAAAAACATAAATCTATGAAATAAATATAACTATGTTTCTGTCATGGTTCTACTTTCTGTTTAACTTGTCCTCTATGACAACCCCAATATCTAAGGAAAATTGGTCAACAAATTCACACTAACCTCCAACTCAATAGTGAGAGAAACCAATATTCATTAATACATTAAGTCATTAACACTATTCAGTCTATATTTGATATCAAGAAAGATAATTCTGAATGAAATGGCCAGCCAACAGGATATTCCTAGCGACAAATAATAATGATAATCCTAGTTGACAGAACACTCAATATTATTAAGATTCAGGAATGACCAATAACAATTCTAATAGGTCTTAAGTATGATTACACATTAGATGTGTAGAGAAATGATGGACTATAAGAATATTTGTTCGAAAATGGACAAGAATAGTAACCAGAGGAACAAGGTTAAACAGAGAAATTATGACCAACAATTAAATGATGCAGTAATACCCACCACTAATGCTAGGGAAATCAATGACTAGATAATAGAGGATAAAATCAAAGCAATAGATGAAAATGGATGGCATGATTACACCATCGCATGACATAAAAGTACGCTTTAACTCTTCATTTTGCCTCATGCCCTGATGTACACTTCAATTCCAATCACCTTAAATACATGGAAATTAAATGGAAAAAAAATGTAAATGATAGAGGGTAAAGAAAATAATAATTGTGATATATGCTCACAAATGGGCTTGAGATCATATTAACAAGAAAAGGCAAACAAGTCTATAGTGTTTGTACAATAATATGCATAGGTATGTGAAAAGCACAATGAAAACATTGATAAGTGAATGTAGAGTCCCTGCACTCATATCCGATTTTAGAAAAGAATTCCAAATCCAAAAAATTGAGTCTTGGCATAATTGACATGATGTGTTTCTATATGGTAAAAGCATATACATGGAAGATGAAACGTAAAAGGGGAGGGATAAGATTAAAAATTGGATGTGGACTGGGCCTACATCAGGCTTGGTGGCCCACAGCTGAGCCTACTCGCTATGTGCTATGCTGAGATATTCGAAAGGGTCATCTTGGCCTAGTGCCATTTTTAGACCATATGAGGAAAAAAAATTGTGATATATGCTCACAAATGGACTTACGTCTTTATTTTTACAAGAAAAAGCAAATCTCAAGGGTGTAATTGATGTATGTGTTATAAGAAAAGCACAGATGAAAAATGAAAGTGAAGTCCCTACACCAAAAATTATAGGAAAGTCTTCCACTTGTTAATTTTTAAGTCTTGACATATTTGACATTAGGATTCTTACGCTACCACACCAGCCACTTGTAGCAACGTTTAAGTGACAGATACGTAGTATAAAACAACTAACACATCGTACAATTGCAGCCTCTCAAGTTGCAACATTACCAACATATTTTGCAATAATATACCTCAACAGTCTTCAGTTTGAGGATTTGAATCCTGGTCCACATCTTGTGATTCACATTCTACGATCTAGATAAAGGCAATAATTCCTAATCTTTATTATGACCTTAATGTCTCAGGATCTTTCAATTGAACAAACTCAAAATAATCAGAATTGAAATATCAGAATTTTAATGAAATTACAATATGACTCTACAACAATAGGCTAAAATACAAAGCAATTTTTACAGGGTATATGAACATTTTTACATTACCTTGCTGAAATTACTACTGTACATATGTCATTCATGTAAATCTTTTATTTAAGCAATTTTCGAGGCAATATTAAATTCTTAGCTAGGATTCTAATGTGTACAACCCTGCAAATTATAGCTATTTAAAGGTCTAGAACTTAATATATGAGGCTAAAAATAATTCAGTTTATTTGGACTATAAACAAAGGATTTTAAATTTTGTTAGTACTAATAATAATATTAGTAATAAGAATTCGAAGATTCCTTCGGATTTTTCTTTGTTGTCACAAGCTTATGTATTTTACAAATTATCCCAAGCCAAAATTTTGAACTTATATGGATTAAAACCGGTCCTTCAGTATCGAGGAATATCTTTATTTCTTAAAAATGAAATAAAAGATCTTTTTGAAACCCAAAGGAATAGCTCATCCCGAGCTAAAGACTAGAAAACTTCCGAATTCTGGGCTGAGCCAATGGAAAACCTGGCTAAAATTGAAAAATAATTATCCATACGATTTATCTCAAGATAAAATGGTCGCAACTAGTGCCACAACAAAGGCAAAAGTTGATACATAATCTTATAGATCTCAAACATATCTGTTGCAAAGAATGTGTTAGTTGTATAATCTTAAAGACCTCATATATCATGTTATTGTAAGAATGTGTTATACAAGAATTATACCACATCACTATCAACATTTTTGGTGAGTCTATTAAGACCTTAGAAATTCTTCCATTTGATCTTAATCCTACAATAGAACATTCTGATGCAAATATTAATATTGAGAACACTGAAGTGACATACATCACAGCACACATTTCATATGTAAATAATAACAAGCAGACCAATTAATCTCAAGGCTACATGCAGAAGGACAATGATCCAAGTGGAGTGAACCCTTTTTGATAGAATGAACTCCAACAGTAAAAGGCAAAGAAGGTTTTTGTAGACTTTTCTAGACCTGAATTGTTTGTGCTGTCTGAATACATGTAAATAAAAATAATAATAATAATAAATAAAATAAATAAATAAAATAAAAATAAAATGAAGCCAATTTGATAAATTAAACAAAAAAAAAAAGAAAAAAGAAAAAAGAAAAAAAGAGAGAAAACATTCTTATCAACAATAAAAATACCTTTGGCTCACCCTGTGAAGCTAATATGGTGCGTACAAGATCAAATGGATATGATCCAACAGTGGCTGCACAACCTGCAACAGCCCCGCTTATATAGGATAAGTAAGGACTCAGATGGATGTGGTCTTCTGCATATCAGAAAACAAAACAGTAAGCCACACATTCGAAGATGTCATGATTGACTAGAATATTTAAGCAGCTCTAAACATAAAGGTAGAATCTGAAAATGGCTTCAAAGTGGTACTTCACATCACGAATAAAAACATACAATATTTTTAGCTTACCATTGACATTAAAGAACAATGCCATTCGATTAAAAATGACAAGAGAAAATGAAAAGCTATACGGACTACAGAGTAGCAAGTAATAGGCTAATTATACCTTCACACCAAAGCTCTAAGACTTATCTGAGTTAATAGGCTAATAAGACAAAAAAAAAAAGGAACATCACAAATGAACTTATCCAAATTCCACCTCTAGATTTAAGTCGTATCTTCCACGAAGATATAATCGGAGTGGAGATGTCAAGAACAGTTTCTGCTTGATCTCTTTAAGATATTTTAGTTTGTTAGTTTATTTTTCTCTGTACTTTCATCTTTATTTGTGATTTCATCTTGTAGGGACTCTGCCCCCCTTAAGCTGTAAAAACGAAAAAAAAAAGGGTCTAAGATTAAGCCCCAAGGTAAAAGCTTCTCTCTAATCACAGGGGTAAAGTTATGAACAACTGATTCCTCAGTCCTGCCACAGGCAAGAGCCAATAGTGCTCTATAGAAGAATGTTTAAGCAAAGAAGGACTTTCTAACACATGAGTTAAAAAAAAATGAAAGCCACTTGATTAGATTTAATAAGAAATCCACAAAGAAAATTACACATTCCATACTGAAATTAGCTAAGCATTTATTTATTTTGCATTTCATAACAATACAAACAACCTTAGTAGTGAGAATTGCAGATACAAGAGCATTACAATAGCATACTCTAAAAACCCCTGAAAACAATCTATTCTTAGCAACAATCCCATTAAAAACTTGATTTTTAAGCTACATAAATACCATTTTCTAGATTATGATCTTGCAAACCTCAGATATAACGCTTTGCCAGTGTCATGCATTGACTGCAGACTTTAAAAGAAAAACATCATATATGAGTAGATGCAAACAAACCTGCCTTGGAAGAGCCAGACATATATGTCTTAAACTTGTGCAAGACTGTGAATTGTATGGATGTATATGGCATAACCATGAGCAAAGCTGGGACATTCCCACGCCAAAAACCCTACAGCAATCAACAAAATTACAATTAATTTTCAACAAGTGAACCCAAGCAGACTGAACAAACATAAGTAACGAAAGTACAGAGAGAACTTTGTGCTGTAACCTAGATCACCACTTCCAACAAAAAAAAGGACAATCAATTACTACTGAGATCTTTAAATTCAAGAAGCAACCTTATGAAGATGTCAAAACTTGATAACCTATGATCATATAATTAGTCAAATTAGGCTAACAAATCCCACATTCTCATAATCTCCGTTTCTACAAATGGAGAAGAGATAACGAAAAGAAGAGAAACTCCGATAATATGTTCAATAACTTAAAAAGATATACTATCATGTAATATAATATGGTTTTCTAGTTGAGACATTTGTTCCTAAGACCACAGGCATCATTATCAAAGGCATCTTTAAAACTTTCTAGCTCTCTATTCCACACATTGTAAGCGTAAAATTAGGGCAACAGTCTTAAGAAATTCATCATGCAACAAGAGATGATCATGCTCATACCCGTGGTCCTTCCTCTCTTAAGATGTCTTTAGCTGCCTGTAACATTCCAGTGTACTTTGACGGTCCATACATGTTTTTGTGAAGCAAAGCCCATGAAGTTGTTGGTTCCAGTTGTACCTGTGAAAAATAGATGCTAAATAAATATGTTTTACAAGTAAAGAAAGCCGAAAAGAATCAGCATTCATGTTCACAGTTGTCAAATCTGACCCATTTGCATGGATACACATCACACAAAACAAGAGAACTAGCATAAACCTGGGAAATTGTTGCTTCTGATTCCACAAAGAATTAGGCACACTAAGCCAACAAAAGAAGAAAAAATTAAAATATCGGTATTACTCATCAAGTTCTCATTCCTGATGGAACATAAAAGCAACAAATCCATTTGTCGTTGTAGAATAAACTACATATACGAAGTATATACATGTTCTTAGTTGTCAGATACAGAAGGAATAATTCTAAAGCGAAAAAGAAGGGCAAATTATTGGATCAGTAAAAATGGACATAGGAATAGGAATATATTAATACAAGAGTTAGACACATTAAAAATTGTGATATACTCCGTAAGTAGTAGAGACATTGAGTATAGAGTCATTTTACAAGCCTAAAAATACCAAGCAAACCAAATAATTACAGATTTCTCTTGCAGGATCATCAGCAAACTCTGTGAAATCCAAGAGTTGGAAGTCCTTGGTACACATTTTCTAATGCAATAGACATGATAGAAATGGATAAAATTTGGGGTGGGGGTGGGGTGTTGGTGTTTGTTAATGATGCTTCCCTTTGCCCCACTTAACATAGAGGTGCCTACATGGCATCAGCACAATTGCATTCAACTCTTCAAATCGATATTAGTTTGAGTAAAGCTTATTATGGGGAATACTATATAGGCCGAAAATTTTCATAACTAAAGTATTTCACACAATCTCAAATCCTGGGCTGAAGAAAATATAAACTCCCAGAAACTAAGCATGTGACAGCAAGGATTGCAAAGATTTGAGTTTTTTATTGAAACACATATTCTTTCAACGCTAACAAAAATACCAACATCAACCAAAAATAAGAAAAAAAGTATTTCAAAACAATACATCTGTACATATATAAACTGATTACCTGAAACCTGATCTTAATGACATCCAGAGGAGAGGTAACAGTGCGAGATATAGCACCAGAGATGGCTCCTGCTGACGCATCTATCAGTGCTCGTTTCAATTGACTAGGCTCCTCCATCACCTTTCCGAAAAAACTTCTCAGATTAAACTAACAACTGGAAAGCCTGAATACCAGAATGCAAGACATCCATCAGTCACTCAAAGCAACTTAGATACTCCAGATTATCAATAAAATAACAAACAGAAAACCGAGCATCAAATGTTCTAAAGTCCAATTGCATCACCTACTAAGAATCAATCAATGTAATCACAAACACAGAATAGAAACACTCATTTCTCTTTAAAGGGTTGTACACTCTTGCTTGCCCCAACAAATTTACTTTATGCTAAAAAAAACCCCAAATCACTCTCCAAAATTAGGGTTCTTGTGTTTTCAGCCTTTTCAAATACCACAAAAAAATCAGAACATTAACATGTAAATACCCACCTAACCAACTTCCAATTAAATCAAATAAACTAACAGAAAATCAAACAATAATGATTCAAATTAATTTTAGGAGAGAGAAAATACCCGCCAAAGAATTAAATTCAGCATTACCCCCAATTTATTTTCTTGTAACACCCTTCAAAGCTGCAATGCATTACAATCACTAAAAATATATTCCTTTTGTCCTCTCGTTAATTAACTAATTAAAGGGCTATTTCCCAGAAATCAAATTATTCATATATACGTAGTACTTAAAATTGATTTATTACCAAAAATAATAATTTCTTTAAAATCTACAACCTTTTACACATTGCTAGTGTACTTATTTAATTCAAAAAACCCAGAAAATTACTCCATTTAGAACAAAAAAAAAAGCTAAACAAAAATATGAAGTTACCAAATAATCCATAAATTGTTGCAATTATAGAAAGAAAAAAAAAGTACTAATTGAGCAGATTCCATAATCAAATTCGAAAACACAGCATCAAATTAAAAGGAAATTTAACAAAAAAGTAAATAAAAGAATGTAATTACCATGAAATTAAATGGTGGGAGGAGGTTGAATTCATGGCGGCACCGCCCAATTTCTCCGGTTAGCGGCGGCGGCGGCGGAGGCGGGGACCGGGTTGAAGAAGAAAAGAAATGAAAAAGGAAGATTTTTTTTAATAAATGGAAGTATTTGGGTTGTATTTATTTATTTTTTTATTTTGTAAAATTAAATGATGGGAATATGGTGTTTGTTTATTTTCTTGTTTTGCCGCCTCTTAAAACATCACCAACAACATTGACATGTGTTTTCTTTTTGTAGAAAATTTCTATAACTTCACTACCTAGTTTTACAAGCGTTTGAGAAGCTTTTTAACTTAATTTACCAACTAATTCTACTAATCTTATCTTGCTATAACTATCCTATTTCGGGTGTCCTAATTTATTTGTCAAAAAATGTTTAACACATATTTCTTTCGAGTTGGGTCACATATTCACTCATTTATTTTTTTCTTCTCTTTATTAACATCATGTACAAATTAAAGTATTGTCGAAGTGTCATGAAGAAAGTTAAAAAAAATGATCGGGTGTAACATATCAAGCATTAATGATACATTTGTTGTGTGCATCCACCGACTTTCCTAACAAGATAATTGTTGGCGCTACCAGATTTGTTGCCTCTTTACCACTATTACTAATATCTATTACTATTGCCAATGAATTTTGAACACCACTTAACAAGTTTGTTTTCGAGAAATGTCAAATATGCACAATATAATTCCTAACATTAAGAGGAATTCTTGGACTCTTAACTATTAGAGTCATAAACGACTCTAACAACGGCATTATCGTCCATTCACTTTTACCGCATTTGAAAAAAATAATGTCATAACCATGTTGGTGTTATTTGAATATATTGTGATATATTCAAGTTTGTATAATTGTTATATTTGTTAGGTGTATAGATTAGCCTTATTCTTAGCCCTTAATTGTAGCTAGTCAGTTTAGTATTCTAAGCCTAACATTATGCTTGTAATCTTGTATATAAATCAAGCTTGATTAAGGAAATAGTCACGGAATATAATTCCTTCATGGTATCAGAGGTCTAGGGCGAATTTTCCGCTGCACCCTAGTTGTTCCGCCCCTTCTTCTTCTTTTTCTTCAATTGGTTTTACTGACAGCAGGAATGACAATTCTCTATTTATTTATCGTGATGGCTCGAATGTGGCTTGTTTGTTATGGTATGTTGATAACATAATTCTTACAGCTTCTATTGATGCACTAAGGGGTTCTATTATGTCCCTTCGTAGCTCTGAGTTTGCTATGAAGGACCACTCCGGTTGAAGCTAAGCCGAAGGTTGGTGCTTCGTCGGGATCCCCTTTTGCATATTTGACCTTATATCGCTGCCTTGCTGGGGCGCTGCAATACCTCACTTTTACGAGGCCGAATATTTCTTATGTCGTTCAACAAGTATACTTACACATGCATGATCCAAAGGAGACTCATATGGCTAATCTTAACTGCATCATTCGGTACGTACAAGGTACTCTTGAGCATGGTTTACGTCTTTATCCATAATCTTCTTCTACACTTATATCATATACTGATGCTGATTGGGGGTGGGTGCCCCGATACGAGACGTTCCACGTCAGGATGTTGTGTATTTTTTGGTGATAATTTGATTTATTGGTCATCTAAACGCCAAGCTACTATTTCCAAGTCTAGTGCTGAGGCAGAGTACAGGGGTGTGGCCAATGTAGTTTCCGAGTCTTGTTGGATTCGTAATCTGTTATTAGAGCTCCATTGTCCGATTAAGAAGGCAACATTGATGTATTGTGATAATGTGAGTGCTATTTACCTTTTGGTAATCCGGTACAGCATCAGCGTACCAAGCATATTGAGATGGACATTCTTTTCGTCCATGAGAAGGTGGCTAGGGGTGAAGTCTGAGTTCTCCATGTTCCATCTAGGCAGCAAATTGCGAATATCTTTACAGAAGGACTACCACGAGTAATATTTGAAGATTTTAGAGATAGTCTAAGCGTATGTTTGCCTCCCGCTCAGATTAAGGGGGTGTATTAGAATATGTTGTGATATATTTTGTTTTGTACAGTTGTTATATTTGTTAGGTGTATAGATTAGCCTTATTCTTAGCCCTTAATTGTAGCTAGTCAGTTTAGTATTCTTAGCCTAACATTATGGTTGTAATCTTGTATATATATATATATTTGTAATCTTGTATATAAGTCAAGCTTGATTAATGAAATAGTCACGGTAATGAAGTATAACCATGATACCAACCACCTTACTCAGTGATACAACGAACGTAAAAATGTTTTGTTGATATCGATATGATTTATTGTTGGTATCATGTGAAATACCAATGTGTGCTATTAAAGTCATTTACTAATGGGATCACTAAATCCTCTTATATTTAACACACTAGACATAAAATGTATATGTGTGACTTTGTAGGCCCATTAAATGGAGCATGGAGGACATATTTAGGTCTATAACACTAATCTAATCCATAGGCATTAGTGGTTTCTAGCAAGACATTACAATCATAATATTTATAGACTACCTATATTGAATGAGTGTCTTACATCAATAAACATATCTTACATTAATTTATTACTTAATATTCTAAAGGTGCATCTTATTTATCTAATTTTATGTAAACTTATATGATCTAATTAGAATATGCATAAACTCATATTTGTTGTAATACTAGTTGTAAATTGAGCTTGGTTATTTATTATTAATTCTGATCAAAACTTATCTCATTCGAAGTTATTAATCCTTACCTAACTTTATTATATAAAGATAAGTTAAAACAAAGTGTTTTTTCAAAAAAAAAAAAAAAAAAAAAAAAAAAGTGAATAGGATAGAGCCATAATGCATACTTCAGTATATAATACAGTACAAAGTACTCTGATCTATATTACATGTTTCACACAATAACTCGAGATGTGAGAGCACATTAAAAAGTTTGGCAATTTGCAATCCTTATCTCCTAAAATAATGCAACTTACTCAATTGGACGAAGTTCAAGCAACTTTTGTTGCCTATATATATTTCACGGGTCCATTTATATTTATAAATTAAATGGAATAACTCTTGAAAAAAAATCCTGTGGGTAATCAAAGGGGAAATTAGAAACTGTGTTTTATAAGATACCTCCTGAGGTAAAGCAAGAGGCATCATTAGTTCACTAGACTTTAGTCATTAATTTAAGAGGGCATACGACCAAACTGTTTTATGCATTCGGAACCACTAGTCATTTGACACGAGTGTGGCGCCACATCTCTTAATGTGTGTACTTGGGTGCATAATATGTAGATTTAGCAGACGAGTGCAAACAAGCAAAATATGTCATATAATAATTACGCGGAATAAAAATTAATATACATGATTAGTCTATGACATAAATGTCATCTAAATATCTAATGTATCTCCCAGCTGAATAACTTTGTAATATTGATACCATGACTAAAAAGAGACTGATATAAATAAAAATAGCCCCAACAAAGCAAAATGTAGCTGTATCACTACTTTTTTGGCACACCAAAATGGATTTCACGTCAGACCTTTTGATCTCTTTTGAACCTTTCAACAAAAGACAGGGAAATCTGATAACCAAATAATTTCCTTAAAAGATCAAAGGGAGAAACATTAGATTTCTATTATCCAACCATTTATGAAGCTATATAAAAAATAAAAGGAAAAAAAAAACACTTTATGATGTGATATTTGTTCATTACAATTTACAAGGCCACCTAGAATATTAGTTCAGGAGGATGATCCAAGAAATCTTTGAGTTAATCCATATAGCTTATCAAAGTGAAATAAGTGCTTCCGGACACGCCATATGTGCAGTGTGTAGAGTATTGCAGCTGATGTTACTATTACGAAGGATATCAATATCAACACCCAAAAGTGCTGCAAAACAAGTCATAATCACAACGGAGTCAAATTCAGTAGTGTTACTGTTACCGTGTTAGATTTACAGTTAGTGAGCACAATTAAAATCCATGTACCCTAGAGCACCCGAGGCAAGGGGCAAGGGAAAATTCCCTGCCTACAGCCTGGCTAATGGTCCAATTCATTGGTTATGTATGGTATGAACATTGCATGACTTATGATATAACCTCCATGAAAATTGGGTCACTGATATAGCACTTTTCACATCCATGAAAGTGATTAAACCTCGATGTCAGAACAATATTTAGGTGCCCTTAGACTAACAAGTGATATGAGACTATGACTAAGCTGAAGGCCTATGCCCTTGTTTGTTTTCGTTTTTTGAGTTAGAAGTTTGATCCAAATGCATCTCAAAATATACTGATAAAATATATGAAAAGATAATATGGTGAAACTGATTTTTAAAACCAATCGAGCACTCGAGCAGCATACACAGACAGTTAAATTATGAATGAAATCACGGTTACCTCTGGATTAGAGACAATTACTCCCATGATATAACCTAACAAATCCATAGCAGACTGGATGGAATTCTGGACCCCTCCCACAATACAGCGATCAGAGGCTGGCACTTGGTCCTGAAAAGTGAAAACAGCATAAAGTAGTGCTTATCTAGTAGAAAGCATGAGCCAGAAACCACAACAGGTAAATTCTGCAGTGACTGATCCTGTTTATTCCCTTAAATAGAAAGATTCTGTTGCCTGTTCACCTGCATTTGTTGGATGACAGCTAAATCGAACATCCATAATCCAAGACGAGATGCTGCAACGCCACTCATTAACATATATGCAGATGGTAGCTTGTTTTTGACCCATATAGAACCAACACATATAAGAAGAATTGACCACTGCACGAAGCATCACAAGTATATGAGAAAACATTAACATGGTATCAAATTACTAATTCAGATTGAAACAGTGATATGACATGATAGGTGAAGATCTGGCATCAAGTATTCTTAATTCTATAAAGGTACTCATACCTGAGACCAAATGGACCAAAGTCCAGTCCTAAGAGTTGCAATTTTCGACTCTAGAATTGGATAGGTAAAGGTTGCTGTTATTCCTACAATAGCACTTATGCCTCGGGCTATACCTATCTGATATGCAGGTATGCCTTCCCATTCCAAGACAGCAGTCATCAGAGAACCAAAGCTGCACGAAGACCAACAAAGTATGTCATTTTTTCTATTTCTCTCTGTGAGACTGAAACCCAAGACAATCAATAGTGTTAGGTTAAAGATGCTTCACTCATTGAGTTCATGGTGATCAGCTGATCACCACTTGACAGTAGAAGTCTAGAAAAGTTCTGGAAGCAGTTTTAGGATTTTTGCCATAAACACCTTTCTGTAATTTTATGAACAGGGTGTAAAGTAGCCATAGAAACTTAAACTACCTGAGTACCGTAAAAAACAGCAAGGCCAAGGATAGGCCTGGAAGCACCACTTCTTGGTTTAAGTATACTTTCCAAGCACCGAGACAAGGAAGTATTGAAAAACATCCAAATGCATGGGTTTCGGGAGAAGGAATGTTGTTTTTGTTTTCAATAGGCAAGTCGGAGTTCTGTTCAGAAATAGACTTGCTTGGTTCAGGATCAGAAGATGGGTTCTGCTTTCTATTGCTATCTTTCAAACGCAGAGCTGGAATCCCCTCATATACAGAGCTAAGTAACCAGTATTCAACACACACAGATACCACATTCCAAAGGGCCAAAAATATAGCTGATGCTGTCAATGATACAAAGCTTACAATAAAACCAGAAACCACTGGAGCACATAATTTGCAAACCAGGTCAATTCTTCTAAGAACTGAATTTAACTTTGCTAATACTCCAGTAGGCTGGTCTTCTGACATCACAACAACCCTGCATATATTTTGATGAATTACTGATTGATAAGATGTTCATTAAGTGCAATATTAAGCAATTAAAAGAACAGAAAAATAAAATTGGTACACATCAAGTGAAGGTTTGAAAAGTATGAATATGCCAAGTGAATAAATTTCTGTTATTAGGCAATATTAATATTTGAAAGGTTGTTATACTGTTATGTAAACCTAAAATGATGTTAAATCAAATTCAATGAGTAAAAAAGTAATAAAAAAGATTGTCTTACTAAGCTAGCAAAAACAAGAGAAGTGTAGTTATGCACTCTTCTGAAAAATAAATTCTGTTCACCATTCTCTTTCAATCAAGATGGTTCCTGCAAGGGTTGAAAGCACTGCAACAGCTCCTGAGAGATAAGTTACCAAAACAAGTGGCGTAAAGATTATGCTCTTTAAACTCGAGTAGACAAGTAAAACCATTACTGCGACTCCAGCAGCTATAAATGACAGATTCTGTGACACTGTCCAAAGCTGAAGAACCTGTAAGCAGAAAAGCAAGATACAAATTTTATTTCTGCTGCATTGGATGAATAAGTTGCAAATTGCACTAAATTGTAGTATCTAAAACCAACAATTCTCTACGTTTATTTTCATGTAAGTTCCTACTTTTTATTATTAACTTTCAAATCCCAACTAAAACAAAATCAGATTCTTAGGGCCTGTTCTCATACGTTTATTTTCAGTTCAGCTCAGCTCAATTTAGCTCCTAATTTCCTTCTCTTATAAAATATTCATTTCATTTCAGTTCAGCTCAGCTCAGTCTATGAGAACAGGCCCTTAACCATTAAATTTTAGGACATAATTTCATCCACTGAACCTAATAAATCATTAAGCACGAATAAGATGAGTCGAACAAACCTTGACATAAGCCAGTGTGTTCACCCATTCCCCAATAATAGGACCAAAGAGCGCAACAGAAGCTGATTCTACAACTCCATATAGCGCCGTCAGAAGCAATGAGTCTGGCCAGATGTTAATCATATATAAAGCCACAGAGAATTCCCACATTCTGCACATAAAATTCACCCAGAAATAAAGATTAATCAAGAGTTCCTAGGACAGATCACCAGAACATTGCTAAAACTTATAACATCAGTTACAACCGCAAATATATTATATCCAAGATTCGAAATGCCTATCAGAAAATTTCTCCAAGCAAAGGATGGCAAAGACTAACATAAAAAACACCTAGTAATCATTGTCTTAATGATTTGCCCCAGTTCCTGTAAACTAAAAAATTCCCACAAGATTTATGCCACCAGTTATGTCAAGAATTAAGATCATAAACCCAAATCCATTCTTATGTAACAACCATGATCTCTTATCTAACCACTACATTATTCGATACATCGATTTTTCGTGGCATGGACTATATTGTGATGAATTAATCCTCCTAGAGTTACCACTATAATATGCAAAAGGGAAGTATTCATTCACAATCAAATATCAGATGCTATATGACACAACTTTTGCTCAAAAATAATAGAAAGATGACAAAATCAATGTTGACAGAAAGAAACCTTTACACCCTCATTATTAATTGCACTAAAACCCTTTTTCAAAGACACCCTTTTTACAAAATTGCTCAAAAATAATTGTCCTTTCATCTACCCATTAGTTCAAATTAAACAAAAATTCCACAAAATCAATCAAGCAAAACCAAAATGTCACATAAAAATAAAAATTTAAAAAGAAGTTACCTAGCACTCCATCTTGATAAGAAGTGACCAACATACAAACACCTTAAAAGAGAAGTTGGTAATGGATCATATTCTGGGTTAATTAAACACTGCCTTGCCTCTAACTCTGCATCTCCCATGTTTTAAATTGATCTCTTAGTACTCAATTTCATATAAAGTATAAATATTTACATTTGAATTTGGGGTATTTTTTTTTTAATGTGGGATGAAATCGATGTTGATTTGTTGGGTACAAAGATGACATTTAATCATCAACAACTACTTTATATTTTTATCTATGGTTCCTCCCGTAGTAAGAATTTTAGGTGATGAATTATTGTATTTTTCAATTGGCATTCCAAATTTAGGAATTTTGTATTAAGTAAAAATACTCCATCCATTTCATAATGTTAGTCCCATATACTATTTTGGGCGATTTAAAAAGATCTACCCATATTGAATATATTTCATTTATAATTTTATTTTTGTATAAATTGATTGATTGGTTGGGGATTGATGACATAAATCTAAGTAAGGAAATCTTTACCTTAAATTATGCAATTATAACTTGTGCTTTCCTAATAAAAAATCAAAAAAGTTAAATAAGGTAAACTAAACATGAATTATGTTGTACTTTAATGTTAGATTTCAAATATATTTATTTTCTTATTTTATGTGATTGATTTCATATAAGACTAACATTATGAAACAGAGGGAGTAACTTTTTGTGTGCTCCGAAGTCCAAATGACCAAAATACCAAATGTACTTCTGGTTTTTGTCTAAAAAATTATACTTCATCTGTGTAGATATATACTTGTATAAAAGTACTCTATTTGAAATAAAATTTACCTTAAAGTCAAAAAGTTTATCTTAGTAATTTTATATCAACTCGGGGCATTGTCCGAGCACTAAATTCTAGATCGATATATTGAATGAATCAAAAAGATATATGTCATATATCTCCTAGCTAAGATAAACGTACAATTATTTTTATTAGATTAAATAAAGACAGCATATGCGAACGTTTGACAAAATATTGTGAAATAATTTTCAATCTCTTATGTTTTTCATTCATCACCAAGAATATTTACTCATATATATTAGATTGGTGTCTGTTAGATGCCCGAGTTGCTTATTGAATTTTAAGATAAAATTTTCTATGTATCGAGTTTTAAATTATATCATTATACAAAATTAGTTAAATAAGTTAAGAATTGGAATTGATGTGATTTTATGACGATTTAAATTATGTAGTAGGCAAGTAATGAATAATAATAATATTAGAAATGTTCAATATAAAAAATAATACTGTAAAAAAAAAAGCCATAAAAAATTAAATAAAAAATTGTTCTAAGCCTGTTGGGTTGACCCAAATCCGAAACTTTTGGCTAGCATAACAATTCTTAATCCGTGACCTAACGTGATTCGACCCGAAAAGGCCGAAATGACCCATGACTCGACCCGATTGTCAACATACGGTAACAAAATCATATTATATTGTGACGTAGTTTATTTGAGTTAAGAGTACAATCAGGTACTCAATTCTTCCTTTTTTTCACCTTTTAGGTACTCAATTTTTTTTGCTTTGCTTTTGGGTACTCAAAGTGATTTTCAGGTGAACTAACTCATCACTAACCATACCTAATTAAAAAATTAATATTTAAAAAAAAATTCTTAACTTTGACTCATAAATTAGCCGTTATTACTCTATTTAAAGGGGCATGAACTTGGCCAAAAAATGCCATGAAAACACATGCAAAACACTGGCAGTACACCATCTTAACAAAATTCATCCAAAACGATTTTCCCTGATTCAATTTCAATAAAAAAAAAAAAAACAAAACAAAAACAGCAACGCAGAAGCTGTAGCAGTACACCAGCAACAAATATCATCAAAACAGGTTCATTCACCATGTCTATTTAGGCACAAATTCTTCAACGAGGTTTTCCCAGATTTTTTAGAAATAAAAAAAATAAAAAATAAAAAAAACAGAAACAGAAGTTGTTGCTAGGTTCTTCCCCTACTGCTGCTAGCTTAATCCAACAACAAACAACAACAAAGCAACAATTTAACAAAAAAAACACAAGAAATCGACATCATCAATTTGTTCCAAAAAAACCCCAAAAAATTGAAAACCCTAGATCGCAAATAACATCAAGAAATGGACCAAAAATTCAAAATTTATATCAAAATATCAACATAATCCATGAGTAATTGAGCTTAGCTCAAAAAAATGGCGGCTTTTGGTGTCGTTTTCCCCATAATCAAGCCCAAGCTTGCTCGTGTTCTTCAACAATGATGCAACAGAATTTCCTGAAAAGGAAAGAATAAAGGGAGAAAGGGAAAAAAATTAAGGGTGACCCACAAATTTTTTTAATCGGGTGGGGCCCATTTTCTATTAACCAAGGTACTGAATTCTTTAACCAAATGTACTGAATTCTTAGGCTGATTTATTTTTTTGGCCGGAATTCTTAACTCAATACCCAAAAGCAAAGTAAAAAAAATTAAGTACCTAAACGGTGAAAAAAGGAAGAATTGAGTACCTGAATTTGTGCTTAACTCAGTTTATTTCAATCGATAGAATATATTTTAAAGAACTATATATAATAATAAATTTATATGATAAATTATTTAATTGTTGTCTATGTGGCGCGACATTTGGTGAAAAGTTAAAACGATAAGTGTCACGGTCTCATAAAACGACTAAACTTATAATTTATTTTTACAAATATTGGTATTTTTTCGAAATAACACTCTAAACCAACAATTTTATCCTATAAATCTATTCAAATTTATTTAAAATTAAACTCTAAATTGACTTTTAGGCCATGTTGTCTTCACCTTAAAAAAAACATAATATTAAGTAAAATTAAGTTCAGTCCAGTAAATTTAATTTCAGTTCAGTAAAAATAAGTTCAGTTCAGTTCAGTAAAATTCAGTTTTCTTAAAGAAGAATTATAATAGAAAATCAGTAAAAATAATTTCAATTCAGCAAAATTAATTTAAGTTTAGTAAAAATAATTTAAGTTCAGCAAATATAATTTTGTTTCAGTAAAAATAATTTCAATTTAGCAAAAATAAGGTGAAGAGAACGGGGCCTTATTCTAAAAAATTTATATAAGTTTGTCTTTTTTTCTTTGTAGCTTGTAGTTTTCTCCTTCTTTTGGGGCTTGCCCCGTGCTCACTGCTCAACAAAAAAAAAAATAGTTTTTTTATTCATAAAAAATATATTCAAATAAATTCTCCTTGTACAAGGCATTTGACATATTAGTTACAGACTTAGGCCCTGTTCTATTCACCTTAAAAAAAATAATATTAAGTAAAAATAATTTCAGTTCAGTAAAAATAATTTTAGTTTAGTAAAATTAATTTCAATTCAGTAAAATTCAGTTTTCTTAAAGAAGAATTATAATAGAAAATCAGTAAAAACAATTTCAGTTCAGCAAAAATAATTTTAGTTCAGTAAAAATAATTTAAGTTCAACAAAAATAATTTAAGTTCAGCAAAAATAATTTAAGTTCACTAAAAATAATTTCGGCTCAGCAAAATTAAGGTGAAAAGAACAGGGCCTTACAATATATGATTATATATTATTTATATATTTTATATGTTATGTTATGATATACAATGCAGTTGACATCTTTCCTAACTCTATATACATATTATATGTTAGGAAATATCCTCTAAATATTCTATGCAATCAAATATACTCACACAATATTCTAGCTTTTCCACGAGATATTAAGGATTATTATACTAGTATTCTTTATTTATACAGTCAAAAATTTTATCTTAGTAATTTTATAAATAACACGAGATATTGTCCGAGCACTAAACCTCTAGATATATATGGCGAATGGATCAAAAAGATATATCTACTAGCTAAGATAAAGGGCTTATGATTATTTAATTTGATTTCTATTAGATTAAACAATTTTTTTTAAGAAGTAAGATACATGGGTTTCACACTAATTTATTGTATCCACTAACATTTTTTGGGTGTTTAAAGAGCCACACTAATTTATTGTATCCACTAACATTTTTTGGGTGTTTAAAGAGCCACAAGGATGGGGTGAGAAAGTGAGAATTGATCCCATGATCTCCTGGAAACGGGAGGAAATTGAACTCCCACTAAAAAAGCGCGTAAGGGGCCACCCACCCTCTCTCCTTGAGCTATCCTCACTTTTAAAAAAAGTCACTATATTAAAATAAAAATTATTCCGTATTATGTTAAAATAAAAGTAATTATTAAAGGTCACACAAGTTTGACTACTTTGTATATCCTCTCAATATTCTATGCAATCAAACTAAATATAAGCTTTTCCAATGTGATAGAATTAGTTTCCTAATTTTATCTCAACAAATATGCACCAAATATAGATCTATTTTATGAAAACTAGTAAATAAATAAATAAATAAATAACTGAATATAAATAAAACCCTAGAAGTATTAGAATTTACAAGTGTATAAATTGAACTCTTTTGCGGAGGAACAATTAAAATCTTTGTGTGCTCGAAGTTGTACCATGGAAGCTTGTCAATATAAAAAGAGTAAGGCCCCGTTCTTTAGAGCTGCTCTGCTTTGCTTCAATCTGCTCTGCCCTGCTCTGCTCTGCTTAAAAATAGTACTTAAAAATAGCTGGTTCAATCTGCCCTGCTCTGCTTCAATATGATCTGCTCTGCTCAGAAGCTCAAAAGAACAGGGCCTAATAATGTTCGTGAACTCTGGATTGTCTCCGTATTAGTTGGTCATATAATTCTATCTCCAATGATAATGTTTTATATTTATACCTTACTACCTTCTTTTAGATTCCAAGTTGATTCTTTTGACGTGTTTTCAATGAAAATTGATAACAATAACAATTACTCGGCGGATATTAACCTAAACCTATCCGTTAAGAATACTGGATTGTTTTCACAGAAGACCAAAGTATTCGATTCTCTTCAAATGGTATTAAAGTATCGACATTGGAATATCTCGTCGTCTATTAAGCTTGAGCCTTTCTATCAAGTGAATGACTGGAAGATTCAATTGAGTAATGTTCGTGTCAAAGATGCACAACTTGAAAAAATAGCGGCTGGTTTAATTGTTAAGGATTTGGTAAGACACCGTTCTTTGCCCTTTGCCTTGATCGTCGAAGGTGAATATTGGGATATTGATTCCACGAGTGATCATGGATGTCCTATGAAGATTGTTTGTCAAGGTATTAGGGTTGAATTTTCACACCCATGTAGTTTGGAGAAAGGTACTATGATTTCTACTCCAATCACTTGTGTCACTAATCATGATAAATTTTGCTAATTAATTATAGTTTCAACTTTTTATTTGTTTTTCCTAATAATACATACAATATATGAACAAAAACTATTGTATTAGAGTTTGATCAATGTTTAATTTGATTATTCAATCATATTTCTGTTTGATGTTTACGTACTCTGAGCACACCTAACAAATATTTGTGGTTCCT